TATATATATATATATATATATATATATATATTTGTTGTATGAATCTTCAACTGATTGTTGTACGAGAATCTTAATATAGTTGATTATTTTATGTTTTTTGTTGCGTAATAATTTTATTATACAAAGTATAATAATCTATCAAGTTGTTATATTATAATTTAATAATCAATTTTGTTAACTTTATAATTAATGAAAAATGTTGTTAAGTATACAATACTTTTTTTTATATTACGGAATACAAGACTTTCTCAAATAAATGGAAATTTTAGTCATAAAAATATATATTGGTGGTGGATTTTTAGTATATATTACCTACCAGCTATAAATGAGTTGATTAAAGTTCTACACTTGAAATTCAAGTTTGATTTATGATAAATATACCATTCTCAAGCTTAACATATTAAAAAATGTTATACAATTTTTTTTATTAAGAAATATAAAATTTAAGCTTGATTTAGTAACTTATTTGTGAAATAATTTTTATTTGTCAAACATCATTTGACATAATTTTTTTTGATTTATTAATTTAATATTAAATAGATATTATCATACTAAAAACGAGATCTACATAAAAATTAATATTAAGATATAAAATTCTATAATAATATTTTTTTTAGAAAAACTTATAATTTACCATTGTATGTCTTTTTTTTTTGTGTGTGAATTTAATATTTCCTAATTATTATACACACCAAAATTTAATATTAAGCCTCCAAAATTTTAAGTCGATTGATTCTTTCAGTCAAGTTTAAAGCAAATCTTAAAATTGTTTTTATCAAAACCATAAATTTAAATCAATATATAATAAATTAAATGTAAACAACATACAAATAATTCATGTCGTTTATATCTTAATTTTTTAACTCGTCCGAGTTAAAAATGTTTATAAGGAAAAAATTTAAGGAGACTGAAAAATGATTCTATCTAATGAATCTCAAAAGGGGACATGATATGAGTAATCTGATAGTCTGATACCATCTTATTATATACTCTGTATATGCTATATAAAAATCATGATCGGTGATACATAAAGTTGTTAATAAATTAATGAATGTGAAGAATTTGTCTCGTATGCTGGGATTCAGACTCGAGCACATCAAATTTCACTGGGTAACATTATAAAAAACACATAAACTGAATCTGGAGTAAAATAATAAAATAGAAAAAGAAGTTAACAGAAAAAACAAAAATATGCAATAAAGTTGGGAACCAAAGTATCACGTGTAATTAATTGTTCCATTAAATCTTTTAACATTGTGATAAAATTTATATTTAACATAAAACTCTTAAAATTTAGTTCCTTAGTTTGTTAATTAGCCTTGTCATATTATATATATATATATAAATTTTTTCTTATAGCCTGCATCTTCATTTTTTTTAAGAACGCGCATCATTGTTCGTGGGAGCCAAATCATCTTAAGACTTGAGTCTTATGAGACAACTATACATTGTATACTAGTATGTTGTAAAACCTTTTATAATTTAATTTTTTAAAAATAAGCTATACTCCCATGTTACAAAATTATTTTATGATAAGAAAAAGTGTTATTAACATAATTTTTAATATACTTTTTTTGATATATTTATTTTTATTAGTTAAAATTTATTAAAAATATAAAATTAAGAGAGAATCATTATATAAGATATGAGATTTATTAAATTTTTCATTTTTTTTAATAAATTTCAATCAATTAAAAAAGTGTTTTAAAGAATATATAGCTAACATTTCTCATATAGTTAAATTACAAAATATCACAATTTTATAATAAAATATAAAAATATTTTATATTATCAATGTATAATTATTAAATTATAATTTTTATCTCTTTATCAATTTATATTATAAAAAGCATATGTATTTTTTAATATAAAGTAGTTTTACATTAATAATAAATGACTATTATAATAAAAAATTGTTTAATTTTATAATAACTAGTTAAAATTTGTATCAACAAAATTATTAGAGTCAATCTAACATATAAAAGGAAAAATAATTAAAAATATTATTTATAAGATTTTGAATTCAAATTTTATAACCGTCATCATAATTTTTATAAATAAAAATAAATTGTATAAATAATCATCTTATATCGTCAATGTTTAACGATTAAAATCTTATACGATATTATTTATTTTATCTCATATTTTACCTTTTTATCTCTTTTCTAATTCTAAAAGAATTGTATAAAAGTATGAATAAAATAATTATGTATCGAGACTGTTAAGTAATTTAACACGGTCATTGAATTAAAAAAAATCTTATACAATAAATTTGTTGATATATACGTAATCATATTAAAAATCACACCAATAATAATTTAGTTCCTTGTTGACTGTCTAAAATTTTTATATTAATAATATATGACTATTAATAAAATTGAACAGTTTATATATCTGTTTATTTTAAAAAAATGAAAAAGAAACCGGAATAAACTGTTGAAAAAGTAATTAAAAATAAAACAAAAAATAATTAAATAAAGTGGAATAAAAAGTGTTGAACTCTACAGACTACAGATACAATTTGTCACAGTACATATGTGAAACAAAACCCGATAAAGTAGTGGTGAATAGTGAATAGAATAGTCTTGAGTCTTGACCGGTGTGTGAGACAACAGACAATCCACCTTCCCAGTTCTTTTACTTTCCCTCGGTTTCTGCTTCTTTTCGCAAAACAGGAAACAAGAGCGTCGTAATAATTACTCTCGTTTTGTTTACCGGGAAAAAAAAAAATATCAGTCTCGTTTTAATTTCACCCATCATGTTCCCTCCTTCACTCCCATTCATTCCCATTACTCTCTCTCTCTCTTGCATCGTGGCAAAGTAAAACTCTCTCCTCACGAGACACTGGTTTCTCTCTCTCTCTCTCTCTCTTTCTCAACCAAGTTGTTTAATAAATAATACTACTGCAATGCAATCTCTCTCTATATTTGTCCTTTTCTTTCTCTGAACGAGAATGGCGAAGGAGCTTCTTCTGCAACTTCGTCTGCTGCTTCTTCTTCCCGAACAACGGTGTCGTTTTGCAGCTCCTCCGCCAATCTTCTGCTTCGCATTCTCCGCTTTGTGACTCCTCTTCCTTCTGCATTTTCGATCCCTCCGATCCGTTCAACTTCATCTTGCTTCTCACATCCACCGACTCACTCAACTCAGGTGCATTTCGCCTTTTCCTTTTCCTGATTCAACTTCTCTCCCTGCTCTTTCTTCACTCTCCTGCTTCCTACTTCAGATTTCTCTTCGTTTTCTTCCTTTGTACTCTTCACATTCACTTCAATGTTACTATTTACTTTTGCATTTCACTCTGTAGGCCTTGATTCGTCGCTTGTAACGCTTATTTGGATACATGTTTCTGTTACTGCTTAATTATTGCAGAGCCTTGTGTTTTCGAGAAATGTAGGTGAGCGAGCAAATCACGCGTACTGCTACTGATCTCGCTAATTGTTACTGCTTCAAGTAGCGAAGCATGAATTGTGCCTCGTCGTTGTTCAACGGAGAAAATATTTTCCGCATACATTATCTACAATTTCTATTTCTCTAGGTTTCTCGCTATAAATGGAAACATACTAATGCTCTACGTTAATCATTTATGTGGTGGAACCTGTTTGTCAAGTAATTATTAATTAACGTCCTGATTATTCAATTTTGGTACATAACTTAGTGTGATCCGTGTTTACTCTCTTTGAATGATCTTATTGTTCTGTATCCCGTATTTAACGAGCATTGCTGATTCCGGTCTTTGACTAATTTATTCCTCTCCTTTGTTTTTTGGTTTTCTTTTGATTGTCGATTACTATTTGTTGGTTTCTTTTTGCGGAATAATCACCGGTTTATTGCGTTGTACTTTTCCTATTCTTCCTTGAGAAAGGAAAATGGCAAAGGTTAACTTACAAGCATATGCAATTGTTGAGTAACTTCGCTGCTAGTGTAATTTCCCTTCTTAGTCACTTAGTGCAGTACAATAATTGTCTTAGCTTTCAAATATGGTTTAATTATTTTCTTGCCTTCCATATTTTGTCATCTAATTTTATTGTAAGGATTTAACGTGTTTGACTTGAAATGTACCCAGGGGTGGAATTCTCTTACTAAATTGATGACATGGAGCAGTATGAAGTACTTGAGCAAATTGGAAAAGGTGCTTTTGGTTCTGCTCTTCTTGTGAGGCACAAGCACGAGAAGAAAAAGTGAGAATCAAACCAACCTTACCTCTTTTTTTTTTTTTTTTTTTTTTTTTTTTTTTTTTTTTTCACTCTTGCAATTCCATCAATCATTATTGTTAATGCTTTTGAATTTCTGTCTTTTGATTATATAGATACGTGCTGAAGAAGATTCGCCTTGCTCGTCAAACCGAGCGCTCTCGTAGATCTGCACACCAGGAGGTTGGTGCTTTAAATAGTGGTTCAGATAGAGCACTAACTGATTATCTTGTGACTTTTTCTAAAATATTTCCCTCTGCATGCTGCATGTTGCATTGTTTGTGTTCCAGTACTAGAGGAGTGTCATTTGCTAATGGGCCTAAAGACAAGTTTCTGATTTTAATATATAAATTAGGCAGTAAACGTAGCAGCAACACTCACATGTTGATGTGAAATTGTGGATGTGTATGATTCACATTGTTCTACTAACATTTATTTGTCTTGGCTTGTATAGATGGAACTCATTTCTAAATTAAGAAATCCATTTATTGTGGAGTACAAAGATTCATGGGTAGAAAAGGTATTCTGCTTCTTAATTTTTACATTTCTTCTTCTTCTCCTCAGTTAATTGTAAGAATTAAGAATTGCTTGTACTAGCTGCTTTCCAAAAATGAGCTTATATTGTAGGATTGCTAGGAAACCTCCTAGTGTATGAATCATTTGAGGATGTTTAACTTTTGATCTATTTTGGCTCCTTCGTTCTCAGGGTTGCTATGTCTGCATCATTATAGGTTATTGTGAGGGAGGAGATATGTAAGTCTCGTCCTCTAACTTCTAGCATACAGTGTATAGCTCTGTTTTCTTTCAACTCTTGTAAACTGGAGTCTGAATGTGTTTTTGAAATACATCATTGATGTAAACACAGGGCGGAAGCTATAAAGAAAGCTAATGGTGTCCTATTTCTGGAGGAGGTTGTTTTTGAATTCTTTTTTCTTGTCGAGATTTTAATTCCTTTCATTTGGACTTAGAATAAGGATAATATTCAAATTTTTGCATCTAAAACTAAAATGGGAGGTTTGTTTGCAGAAACTTTGTAAGTGGCTCGTTCAACTTCTTATGGCTCTTGACTACTTGCACATGAGCCACATTCTTCACCGTGATGTCAAGGTAGGTCTCTTCGTACATAAGAGTGATATTTCTATTTTCATCTAACTTATATTGAGCCATATACTTATGAGAAAATCACGTGATTCTATCAGTGTTCAAATATCTTCCTAACAAAAGATCGTGACATACGTCTCGGTAAGTCATTCTTTGTTTACTTTAATTAAGGCATCATGATTAAAGTTTTGTTTACAAGTGATCAATGATGAAGCAGGTGATTTTGGACTTGCCAAAATGTTGACTTCAGATGATCTTGCTTCCTCCGTAAGATGTGTAACCTTTGAATTGAATTTACTTATTGTTAATTTAACACGACTACTTGTAATCATCAATGAGTGGTTTTCTTGTGATGTAGGTTGTGGGAACTCCTAGCTACATGTGCCCTGAGCTCCTTGCTGATATACCTTATGGTTCTAAATCAGATATTTGGTCCTTGGGTTAGTACTTGTATTATGGTTTTGTTCATTGTAATTTTTCTATCATTGATTTTTTATGTGTGTATGATATCTGAAATCAATTATCCAGGATGTTGTATATATGAAATGACAGCGCATAAGCCTGCATTCAAAGCATTTGTAAGTTTCTTTTTTATTAAAAGTTGTTATTATTATTTCTTTATGGAACATATCTGTTACATTCATCTCTATTGTTGAATGAACAAATTCAGTTTATTATCAATCAGACAAACATTTGCCAATCAAATTGACTACCATCAAACTACCATGTTTAGACATGGATATTGTTGTTATGTGGACGGATCAGTAGACTAAAATCTCGTTAATTTACATTATCTTTGTATCCTAATTTGTTATGTTTTGAATTTGAACTCATGGTTATGTTGTTGTTGTTGTTATTATTATTATATAACTATGATTTTCACAATACATTATCAGCACTTATTTAGATGCATGATTATATAACGAATCAGATTCAATATGTATTTAGTGCTTTCATATCTGCCCTGTAAACTTTTTTTAACTTCCTAATTATCTTTCAATTTCTTTGAACAGGATATACAAGCATTGATTAACAAGATTAACAAGTCCATAGTCGCTCCACTGCCAACAAAATATTCTAGTTCATTGTATGCCTATAGTCTTTCATTATATAGTTTATTAATCTTGCCATTTGTGAATCACATTGTCTTTTTTTTATGCTGTAAAATTTAGCACTTGATATACCTAGTTCCTAAAAATTTCCAAACCTGACAGTTGCCAAAGAAAATTCAAAGTGGGATTTCTTGTTAATTTATAGTGATCAATTATTAATGTTATGTACTATATGATTGATCTAGTCATGTTTGTTATACTTTTGGCAGTCGAGGTCTTGTTAAAAGTATGCTGCGGAAAAATCCAGAGCTTAGGCCCAGTGTATGTAAAATTCTCCTGACCTAGAATAATTCATTGAACTTAATTGCTGCAACATCTAGCACTATATATATATATATATATATTTTTTTTTGTGATGAATCAGTTGTTGAATAGATATAGCAATTTATGCTGTCATCTGAAGAACAAGCATGCAATTCAACCAACATTCCTAAACTTTGTTGGATTTGAGATGTCATTTTCCCATGGCATGTATTCTAATTTGCTTCACTAAACTGTGTTTTCTCCACTTTAATTGGAGTGTCAGGATTTGATTAACAGAAGAAATCTCTTTTGGCTTGCCTGGTTGGAGATGAGTTGGGTTGATAGATTTTGATATATTTTATTGTGATTTTTTATTTTGTCCTTTCATTCTTTTATATAAATGATTCTTGTTCGGTACAAGAGGAATATTCTTGGTACTACATTGCATCAACAGAGGCACAGGAACACGATAGCCAAAGTATCTCTAATTGAGTTGAGAATGGCCAAAATTCTACATTGTTATAGTCAATTGTTGGGGGTATATTAATAATGCCAGATTGACTGAGGATTTTAAAACTGATATTTGTGTCCTTAAAACATTCGAAGTTCGGAGGCAAAATGGATGACCTTGAAGTGGCATAGATTATGAAAGGCTTGAGTCACCTCTAACCTCTCACTTACCTTTTAAATGCTTTTCACACGGAGGTTATGCCTATGAAGGAAAACATTTCATGCCTCTTAAGTTTGAGGGATGAAAATCCATTTTGTTGTTTGGGTATCTTGCTGTAGTTGTGTGGCTGCCCTGTCAATATCACCCCTATCCTCTAAGGCTCCATTAGTTAGATTGATTATTTCTAGCTCATTAATCCTTTGTCTCTGATATATGTCCTTGTCTGGTGTCTGCTGCTATTTATCATGTTAAATTTTACCAGTGGTTGTGGCCTTGTGGTCAGCTATCATGCTATTTGCTTACGAGTTCAAATCTGATCTGTCATATGGACCTATTTTCTTATTTGAAGTGTTTACTTCTGGTTGTAGGCTTCAGAGTTGCTTGGGCACCCTCATCTTCAACCTTATGTTCTTAAGGTCCATCTCAAAATCAATAACCCCAGGCAAAGCACATTGCCAGTTCATTGGCCAGAATCCAACTACATGAAGAAAACTAGATTTTTGTTGCCAGAAGATGATCCTGTTTCCATCTATAGGGATAAGCGACATTCTTTCAGCAATGACCGGACACTAAAGCCTAGTGTATCTGGATTTGATCAAGATTCTGTATGCTCCACCCTAGAAATAGATTGTACTCCTGACTATTTGAATCAAAGGTTAGCAGAACTACGTATTGGAGATAGCCATGAAGTGAAGTCAATCCAGAAGCCTGCTGTTTCCAGAACTTCTAGCTTTACTAAGACTCCAAGATTCACTTCCTCAAAAGCCTCCACCACCAACAAGAAATCAGTGGAATCCTCAAAGAATCGCAAGGCGGTAAGGAAAGTTGTAAATCCATTGTTTTTGCACATGACTTTGGCTTCTTTGGGTTGGGGGTGTAGGGATGTTTGTCACCTGGTTTATATATAAATTTAGAGTTAAGCATGCCACCTGTGCGGCTTTGTTAAATGTTTAACACTTTAACTACACAATTCACAATTCTGGACCTCTATCAGTATTTTTCTAAAGAATGGATTGGTTGTATTGAACTACACTGACATATAGTAAAAATGACAATAACCTTCCTCCTGGATTGAAATATTACAATCAACTCTTATTGTCTCATTATAGAAACCTCCCTTCGTGTCATTAGCTTTTATTTATTTTTTAATTTAATTTTATAAAATCATTAGCTTATATCTTTTAGGTCTCTATTTACATCTAGGTACAACTTCTAGACTTATTTTCCCTGTCAAATAAGTCTTGTACCATTTATATTAATTGAAAAATTCTAAAAACAGGAGAGCACAAATTACTAGAAAAATGATTTCTGGTTTTAATAATCATCTTTTAAATTCTCTCTGTAACAAGTATTATTACAAAAAGAAAAAGAAAAAAATTATTCAGTTACAAGTTAAACCGTAACAATATTATAAAATTAACATTGTTTTACGATCGGGTAGATTTCTATAATGTGATTATATAGAGTGGATTGTAATATTTGAGACTGAAGGAGTTTCCTGATATTTTTGGTCTAACAAGGTAAGTTATTGTAAACAAAATATAATTTTACATGACTGACTTTCTAAAGTCTGATTGCAGCTTCCTCTTTCGCACAATACCACAAAATCTGCTAATACTAGTCGCAGAGCATCATTTCCACTGCCAGCAAAGGGTGGTGTTCGGCAGCCTCCTTGTAGGCCCAACGTCAGTTTGCTTAGTCACGTATCTTCACCAGATATCTCAGTCAATTCTCCACGAATTGATAAGATAGCTGAATTCCCATTATCTTCATATGAAGATTCTTTGTTTCCCATCAATAGAACATCATCCCGTGCACAAGGTTCCTCAGGCTTCGCATCTCATGGCAACAATTCGACTGTGATAGACAAATGCACGGTAGAGGTATATGATAGAGCCTCTAAGGCTGGTTGTATGGATGCTTGGCAGGGAATCAAGCAGAGCATGTTAAAGGAAATTGATGAGGATAAAAGTGGTTCCTCTGATCAAAATGCAACAGCAGGTGCTTCAAGCCACACCTCTTCTGACTTGCGCCGTCGACAATTTGATCCATCATCATTCCAGCAAAGGGCTGAAGCTTTAGAAGGGTTACTTGAATTCAGTGCAAGATTGCTACAGCAGGCAAGGTATGATGAACTAGGGGTTCTGTTGAAACCATTTGGGCCTGGAAAGGTTTCCCCAAGGGAAACTGCTATCTGGTTGAGTAAGAGCTTTAAAGAGAACACTTTTAACCCGGAAGAATCCCTGTAATCTGCTATAATGTTTACCGTAGTCATTTTTAGTGTTCAGTGTTTTTTCTCACACGAGAGGACTTAGCCAGCTGATTATTTAGGTTATAACATTTTTTTCATTTAGCCTTTTCTGTTTCCCTTCAATGAATAATGATAACTCAAATTTTCAAAATGATCCATGAAGCAGATGATAGACATTTTCACGATCCTAATCCTTATTACTCGCCACGAAAGGAAGCGAAGGTTGGTGTCTCAAAACCCTTTTTTTATATTCTTGTATTTTGTTGGCGCTTTTCTTTGATTGCATAGACTATACTCTACCTCAGTTAAATTTGAATGCAAAAGTGTCAGGTTTTGGCCTTGAATGTAAAAATTCATAAATGCAATGACCATATTAATGATATTGTGGACTAGAGATGTTACATTGCCACTATCTAGTAAGGTACTAGAAATCGGGCAGCTATTTCTTGGACAAAAGATTTTATTTTTTTAGCATTCAACATTGAACATCCACATACTTTAGATGACTGAGCATTGATTCCAACTTTATTCATTCTTGTTACACTTATCCAGGTGGAATTGAGTTGAAATGAGTGTTTTGAAACTATTTGCTGCATCTGCCCTATGACATGCAGTGTATTCATTTTTCTGTTTTCCCAAGGATTCCTTTAACCAAATTCATGTAATCTTCTGTTGAAGAGGATAAAGTTAAATACAAGATTTTGTCCAATTATATTGTAACATTTAAATTAAATTACATGAAAGATATTTTAAATAAAAAATAATCAAATTAAAATATCTTATCGGATATTTTTTAGTAAAGCAACTCGAGCTGAACCAAAAACAATTACATGTAAAAGAGAAGCTATATAGCCTGTAGCACGATAAAACAAGAAAAAGAAAATACGAATGAAAAAAAATAATCCATTTAATAAATAAATTTTTTTTATGCTCATATACTACTATTTGTTTACAAATAGGCAATGTTACATAATTACATATAGTTTAAATATCGGCCATTAATATTCTTATTCAATTATATTTAAATATAATTATTTTTAAAAAAATTACTTATTACATTTTTATTTTATAATTTTTCATTTGTAGATATAATTTTAAATGTGTTAAATAAATTTGGAACAAATTGCAAATAATCTTAAAAATAATTTATTCAATTCAACTTGATTAAGTTAAATCTAAAAGATTATCATCTAGATTTTAAACTAATTATATATATATATACATATTATATCATAGTTATTTTTAAAATATGTAATTTTATTATAATTTAAATGTTTTTATATCTTATATCAAGTAATTTTTTTTTCTAAATTTTAGAAATAAAAACAGAAAATATAGTTTCTTAATACATATTTTAAAACTATGATGTTTTTATTTTATATATTTGTATATATTAAATAAAAAGACAAAAATGCCCCTTCCTAGCTAATACCCCCGCAAATCCAATCTTCCGAACGGATAGGATAGAAGGTAGTGAAAGCAGAGGACTCTGAACTCGAAAATGGCTTCACTCTCCCTCTCAACACCAACAACACCAACCTCTCTTTCCTTCACCTCATCCTCTATCTTCCTCTCCTCACACCAGCTCCAAACCCATTCCAAATTCAAGTTCCCCATTTCACCCCCCAAATCCCTCTCCATCTCCTGCAAAGCCTCCCCCCTCCCCATCCTCAACTTCTCCGGCGACAAGATCGGCGAGTCCTTCCTCGACCTCCGCTCCGCCCCCCCGGACACCGCTCGCGCCGTCGTCCACCGCGCTGTCGTCACCGGCCTCCAGAATAAGCGCCGCGGCACCGCCTCCACCCTCACTCGCGGTGAGGTCCGCGGCGGTGGCAAGAAGCCCTACCCTCAGAAGAAGACGGGACGCGCCCGCCGCGGCTCCAACCGGACACCGCTCCGGCCCGGCGGAGGGGTCATCTTCGGGCCCAAGCCCAGGGATTGGTCCATCAAGATCAACCGCAAGGAGAAGCGCCTTGCCATCTCCACCGCCATGGCCAGCGCCGCCGCGAACACCGTCGTTGTGGAGGACTTTTCGGCGGAGTTCGCGGAGAAGCCGCGGACGAGCGAGTTCATCGCCGCCATGAAGCGGTGGGGGCTCGACCCCAAGGAGAAGAGCATGTTTTTTATGACGGAGGTGCCCGAGAACGTGAGGCTCTCGAGCAGGAACATTGGCACGTTGAAGATGCTCACGCCGAGGACGCTGAATTTGTACGATATTCTCAATGCGGATAAGCTCGTGCTCACGCCTGAGGCGCTGGATTATTTAAATCAGAGGTATGGGGTTGATTACCAAGGAAGTGATGATGAAGATGAAGAAGAAGAGGGTGAGGAAGCTGAAGAAGGTAAATGATTTTTGTTATAAACTATTATTGTCTAAAATGTGTTTATATTCCTTAATTTTCAGTTAAATTTCGGAATTGGGATTAGTACATGTATTGTTTTTAATACCTCTCGTGTTTTTCTTGTAATGATTAATGAATTTGTCTCTGACCCAACATTATGTAACCAAGCAAGTGGTATATTTTTGACAATTACTATCTTTGGTCCTAGTGGCACTCGACTGGTGTCATCAGTTTCCTTGTGCTACTTCGTGTTCTCTGTTTGTATCGCCTGTTACCTGTAAATGCAAAAATGCTTTTGAAAGTCAATGAATCACACTCCCCTGCTGTTAAAACAGAACGATGACAAGGCTACTTTTCCTTTTCACTTTCAGCATCTGACTGAGATCGAGACCAACATCCCTTGAATTCATACATGCAGTGGCCATATTATAGACCGGAGGTCTTACATTGTCACTGTCTAGTACAGGTACTCGAATCAGGAAGCTGTTTCTTAGAAAAAAAGATTTTATTTTTGTAGCATACAAGCATTCAACATTGAACATCCTCACATTTTAGATGAATGAGCATTGATTCCGGCTTTATTCATTCTTGTTACACTTGTTCTGATGGGCTTAAGTTGAAATGACTGTTTTCAAATTATTTGCTGCTGCTTCTGTTTGCTTGAAATTTAGGATTTCAGCTTCCAACTTGTGGGGTATTGATCTCAATTAATGCATTCAGTGGCATATTATTCATGTATATTTGAGAAGTTGTCCCCTCACTGATATCTCTAACTTGACCCCTTGCACGTAGCATGTTATTCTTCACAGTTCAAACCATGTAGTCAGACTAGTATACGAGAAAAGATAAAATCGTAACAATGCAAACCTTAATGATCTTCCCAGCAAGATGAAGGGTTGCACAGTTGAGTTTCTCTTAATTTTTCCTCTCATTTGCTAGCCATCCCATGTTGTCATTTTTTTGTTACCTCCAAAGAGGTTAATGAAGCTTGCAGCCAAAGAGGTTAGGAGTGTGTTTGTTTTTCTGTTTGGTACATGTAAACGTGGGTTCATTTTAATCCATCAAGATTCATACTGTTCCGCTTCGTTGCTTTGGAATGCATGCTACCGATTATACAAAAACACACTAGAAAGTTGAGTCATTTGTTTGGAGTGGTTGTGAATCATCGACTACCATTTGCGTGTGAGCTTTGAGCTACTTGCATTACTTTTAAGCTTAGGTTCTTCATGTTTAATTCCCGTAAGCAATTTTGATAATATAATGAAGCTTCGAAGGGCTTGTTTTCCTATTGCCGCTATGACAAGTATTCTTTCCCACATGAGCAGATATATAAACACGATGGGTGAAAAACTCGTGCTGTGTTTGGTAACACTGAAAAAGGGTGAGAAATAGAGATGAATGAAAAAAATAGTGGAAGTTAAAATTAGGGGTTGTTTAGTTGAGAAGAGACAGTGAGGAAGGAAAAAAAAAATAGTGGGTCTCGTAAATTTTTTGTCACATCTGAGGCAAGAAATCGACTATCATGGTTAAATCTGTTTAAATTGCAGGCTAAATGGACAAAGATTTTTAGGACCTAGTTATGTATATACCCAGCGGTTGCTAGTTAAACCTAGTCAGAATGTTTGACATGGCTAGAACGTGTGACACAACCTAGCTAGATGATAAAGAATGGAAAGACATTAGGGGGCTTTGGCTGGAAAGAGGTTTTTTCATACCTAATCATAATTTCGGAAAATTATAAATTTTGGGATTTTTAAGAATAATTAAAATATATTTGATTATTTATAAAAGTTTCTGGGCATATTTATATAGGATTTTCAAAATTTTTCATATTTGATTACAATAGTATATTTTTGGATGTATAAATGTTTTTTTACAATAATATATTTTATTAAAATAAATTCATTATATATATATATATATACTTAAATCTTATTACAAATATGATTTTAAACTATTTTAAAAATTTAACAATTTATTAAAATTAT